AACCAGCGATGGGTGGTTTATCCCATCGCTGGGAAGGAAGTATTTTCTAACCAGCAACCCTCTTCCCATCGATGGGAACTTCTTCCCATCGCTGGGTGTTTGACACTTTTTTTAAAAAAATTTTTTAACGGATTTCCAGTAGCTGTCTTCCCATGGATGGGAGAACCTTACCATCGCTGGGAAGGCTGCCTTCACTTTTTCCTCCATTTCAAGTACATGTCTTCCCATCGATGGGAGAACCTTACCATCGCTGGGAAGCCTGTTGTAGTTCAAAAATCATAGCCGTTAGGCACCTCATTCAATGACCAACAGCCATATTTTTTAACACCAAGGGCCCAAATTCTCTTTTCCTATAAATATTAACCATCCTTGGTCATTTTTAACACACAATTCACATTCCTCTTGCATACTTTCTAAACGCTTCAACAATGGCCAGAGGAAAGTCAAGGACCAAAACCGAGGCTTCAAAGAAGAAGGCCAACACCGACACCACGACCTCTTCTTTATCTTTTCCTTATTAAATATGATTGAATTTTTATTCGTTGTATTCCGCATTTCCCTTTTAATGAATAAAAGTTTACTTTTAATTCTTTTTGTTAATGTCAAAAGGGGGAAGATATAAAGGTTATGCATAGATTGAGGGGGAACTTTTTCTAAACCTAACTCTTATTCAACACATATACTTTCTTGAAAAGAAAATTGCATTTATTAAGGGGGAACATTTTTTAAGTCTGAAATCAATCCTCCTATGCATAACCCCGTCTTGTTTGCCATTATCAAAAAGGGGGAAATTGTTGAAACACGAGTTTATCATGTTTTCGTACTAAAGTCGTGTTCGTTTTTATGACAGGTTTTTGATAATGTCAAACCGCCGTGAACGAGACAAGTTGTTGAATATACAATGCGAGAAATAAATATAAGAAGAAAGCAAGAGAACAAGAGCCAAAAGAAGACCAAGAACAAAGACAGTAGTCTTAGCGTCGTTGAGTCGGTCACAATGTGATCAAGACCGACCCAAGCCTTACACTTTGGCTCTTTAGGCTAAAATTATTTTCATTGCATTTCACACATCATAAAAATGTTTTTCAAACATGTTTAAAACATTAAAAACACTTGGTGTTCGCCCAAACCAAAAATCAAGCCATCCGGCGTTCGGGTTTCAGAAACCGGCGTTCGGCATTCGGTTTTCGGCGTTGGTTTTTGGCGTCTGAACTAACCAAGTGGTTTTCAACTTTTTATGACTGGTTTTTACTTCTGGGCACATTTAAATAGTTTTTCATCAAAAACACTTCAAAAACCACCTTTCGTTTTTTGTCGTTTGACAAAAACCACGCGAAACGGCATAAACTTGGCTAGCCGCGGTTTTTACTTAAATAAAGTGGTTTTCAAGTCTTTTTGTGTGGGAATTGTTTTTGAATGCATTTAAATGGTTCTCCAATCAAAGCATCATGAAAACCACCTTTCAGTTTTGTCTTTTGGTGAAAACCACCCGTGTACGGTGTTGACTTGGTCAACCGTGGTTTTTACCTTAACGACGTGGTTTTCAACTTACAAAGCTTGTTTTGACATCAAAATACATTAAATAAGTGTTTTATATACTTAGTTTTTACTTTGGAGAACTTTGCATTTTTCGGTCGGGTTTCAGCGCCGGTCAGCTAGGCCATGGTTCTGGGCTAGCCATCTACCCAGCGATGGTAGATTTCACCCATGCATGGGTAAGTGATCCCGGGATTCCAGAATCATGCCACCCAGCGATGGGAAGATCTTCCCATCGATGGGTAAGCAGTCCCTTAGCCAAACCAATTT